CCTATATTGAAGGCACAAAGTCTTCCTCTTGATGCCAAAAGACTGGTTTGAAGGTGCTTAAGATTCCTCAACGTCGTCCAGGTGTGCTGGGCATGAAGTATGAATCTTAAGGGTATAAACCTGAGAATTGGCGATAAGAAATGACTTGACCAAGGGCTTTGAGCCAAGCCTTTCGCACGTCCATGTATTGAGCTATTTGGTGGTGGAATGAAAAAGAAAGCACTGCCCACCTCCCTAGGAAGGGGTGGAGCCCAACAATTGAGGTGGGGGAACAAGCCAATAGATGCAAAACAACATTGATTGACAGCTGTAGGTAACCAAACAATTCAACTATACATTTACATACAAATGGCGCTAGTCGCACCGTCACAACCAACCTCACTGACCTGACAACCATTTGGTTCCTGTATCCAGCCTTCCATAGCAAAAATGTATGATCTTGGCTTTGGATAGAATTTTTTTTACCTGCCAAATGAAGATGGTATTTCTCAGACTAATGTAAATCATCCATATGACATTTATACTCAATGCAATGTTGCTTTCCCTACCCTTTCCCCCTACATCAAAACCCATGTTTGATCTTTCTTGGATGATCTTAGCATGATCTTTCTTGGATATTAACCCACTCAGATGCAGGACTGGGTAATGTTAAGTTCTTAGGAATTTTGTATACAGCTTCAAATAAATTTGATACACCATGCAGGGAGTTTTATTGATTGTTGATTTTCTTGTCTTCTATGAGAAATAATGTTTGAAAAAAATGGTGTTTATTCCCGATTTCACATTTGTACCTTACTTTTGCAGGTGTTTTTCAAGATCTGATCACCTTGCCCTACATATGAAGAGACACATCTAAATCACTGAACGTACTGCAAATGACCCAGATTTAGTTAGACTGAAGCATCATGGAAGAATGGATGGAACAGGATTGTCTGTCTCTTGCTGCCATTCAGAGGAAGAGAACTTGATTACATGAAGACCTCTGTACACGAAACGTGCAACCAACTCTACTTAATTACATACGCCTGTTCTCAGTACATTGCTTGTCTGGAAGTCAGAAGACATGTGAGAGGGAAAAGGGTGGCAGAAGAGGTCGGTAAGACATGCCGTTGCTTCGGACACAATGAGATCCTTACATTTTTGTTCCCTTTTTATTGCCAATGGAAATCAAAGCAGAAGGAAGAGGATTTAATGCAGGCGAACAGCAGTAGCAGAAGCATCTATAACTTGCTTTTCCATGCAACTTGAGGAAGTGGGACACTCTTTTGGAGTTGCATATTTGTAGCACTAACTTTTCCTTTTAAATACATTTCGGAGGGGAAATTAATGACCTAGAAAAACCAAATCCCAGTTTGGTAGCCAAAACATTCATGTCTTGGTTCCTTTCTGTTTTTGTTTTTGAGAAACCATTATGTACAAGGATGTATCAAGACTTCTCAAGGACAGTTTTATCTGCTCCAGTTCTTCATAGAAGTGACTTGTCAAGATCTGTTTGAGACAAAATACCAATGGCCTTAATTGGCAGTAAACTGTGCAATGACACCTGGGACACGCCTACCACTTTCCTGGCTTGAACCGATGGACACTTTGTCAAGGATATATATTTGTTTTTTTCAGTTTCTTACCTTTTGATATTGGGTTATTGCACATCATGTGCACTAGAGGACTAGGAAGACTGCTGATGTGGTTTCACAGCGCTTGGCCAGTGAAGTCCCTGACCAACACCACAGTATATCTTGGAGGCATCACCATGCTGCCATAGTTCAGACTTCCTATTTAATTGCCTAATGAAAACTTGAAAAATAAGCTTGTTTGGAAGCTTTGAACCTTTTTTCCTCTGTGTTCCTCAGAACTCTTGTAACACACCTGGATATCTGTCTTGGATTCTATCACTCAGGCATGACTTCAGGTTTTCCTTCTGCACCAATGGGAGGCATGCTTGTTGCAACCCATACTGAATGGTTTGGAGTTCTGGTTGCTTGTTCTTGCTAGCCCTTTTAACCCATTTGGTAACTTCCTCGTGCGACTGGCACCTGCAAAATATAAATTTGGGGATTGGGCAGACATGTAAAAATCTTATTATGGTTATGAGTGGAAAAATGAGAACCCTTGTCCAGTTAAAAATGAATAACACTAAACTGTTCTGCCCTAAAGGAAAGGCCCTCCTTGCCAAGGGTTTCCTCCTCCATTTGTCAAACTGGTACAACTTTCCCATTCTAAAAGCATTCAGGAAAGGGGTTGGTGACCTTTTTCATGTGCACCGACCTTTTTTCCAAAGCAAAAATAATGTGTCCACTTTGGCCATTGGTAAGCAATGGATTTGTCAGGCTTCCTTTTGAATCTTGTAGATAATTTGACAGTTGTACTTCAGATTGGATCAGTTTCCCCTGTACCACACACACACACACACACACCTTCTACCTTTATAATGGCTATTTCTAGCTAGTTGGAACTGGCACTGATTCCAAAGACTGCCTTTTCTTAACGCACTCTCTCTCTCATGCAGGTGGAGAGCTAGTCATTGAGAATGGTTGTGTATAGTGAGTAATGTGGGACCATCCCTCCGAGATGAGCTGAGAAGTGAAAAACAGCATGTAATATTCCCTTGGTTGCTGCTCTTCCACTCACAAAACTAGCTCACTGCCCTCCTTTTGACTGTTTTTTGACTTGCTGACTGTTCGGTAATTTCCTAATTTATGTTTAGGATGCAAAAACTTAAAAAACTTTTAATATAAATATATATATAATGTATACATATACACACATATACATACACACACACACACAAGATATCTAAAATTGTGTAATGTAAGTACAAACACAGGGATTCTTAGCACTTGGCCTTTGGGTCTTTCTTTCCATCTTTGATTTCACCAAACTACCAGATTTTCAAGCAAAGCTCCTTCCTTTTTGGATCAGAGTTTCTAGGCACACTGTGACTGTCAGTGTCCATTTGTGCTGCAAATATAAGGCCTGGCCCTTAACCGTGGGAAGAGAAATGGACCAAAATAATGCACCATCTCTGCAAGGGCAGTGAACGTTTGCATTTAAGAACAAGGGAGAGATCTATGTTTTATTCCAAAGAGTTATGATTAACAATGATTTAGAAAATATTGGAGCACTGTTTGCGGACAATCTTGTAATTCTCTATATGTGTGTTTGCATATTTTCTGTCCTACCCAAGTGTTTAGTGGGTTTTGCGAGAGCTAGCTACTTTGGGATTTGAATATCATGTGACAGTTTTGGAATATCAACTGAGGGAGATGACAGAACACCTACATGTGAAAAATCTATACAGTTCGTGTAGCATCCTACATAATGTGCAAACATATTTGTCATGACAATAATCTTTGGGTAATATCCATGAATGTCATCACCCGAAATGTTGTTAAACCTTGTTGCTTCTGGTATTCTTTGCGATCATCTGCAGGAGTTGATGGAAAATTTATTGTAATGCTGCATTTTAAATAATTTGAAAATGGAACGCTAGAGGAACAAAATGGAACAACACCAGTGGTTCCCAGTCTTTAGTCCTCCAGGTGTTTTGGACTTCAGCTCCCAGAAATCCCAGCCATTTTACCAGCTGTTAGGAATTGTGGGAGCTGGAGTCCAAAACACCTGGAGGACCAAAGGTTGGGGTCCACTGACTATACTGTAGAATTAAGGAAGTTTGACACCACTTTAATTGCCATTACTCAATGCTATGGAATCATGGGAGCTGTAGTTTGTCATAATTTTCAGCCTTCTCTGTTCAATAGAGCTGGTGCCTCATTGAGCTGCAACTCCCAGCAACCCATGGTAGTGAGGCATGGCAGTTAAAGTGGTGTCAAACTACATTAATTCTACAGTATAGATGCATCCAATATTGAATTTTAAACTTCTCTACTAGCTCAGTGTAGAATATGAAACCATCACTTCTTAGGTGGCTGGAAAGGCAACTCATAACAGAACGTGTACTGTGCGCTGGTGTTCAAAGTAGGCCTGTATCATAAGAATCAGAAAACACCATGGTGACAGGTTGGATTTCTACACTGGCCTTTCATTTCTTTCCAATGGCTCCCCAGAATTAATGAGAAAAAATGTCCAGTTATTTAGGAAAAAAAAGAATAATTAAAATAAACATGGCATGCTCCTCAGGAAAAATGAAAAAGATCCACCAAGTGAGATGGCAGGACAAAACATAAAAGCCTAGTAGTGACCTTGGGAGAAGAAACTGACACCAGTAATGGGGGAGGCATTGCAAAATAATGATGGAGGCTACTATGTTCCTAACATGACAGGCATGTACCACTGAACATGTCAAGAACACCCAGTATGGTGTACTTCATATGTGGCTGACACATTAGTCTGCTGGCTAGTCACTTGTACTCTGTGCCTTCACCGCTGTTTTGCCATGTCCACCAGTAAGGCTACCAGGTCCCTTTGGTCAGCATTTGGCATTGGCTCCATCCCTTTCTGCTATTATTGAAAAGACCAGTCTGCAATCTGCTTTGTACTAAAGAGGCAAATCCTATGGAAGTCGGGATTACACCGTGAGATGTGCACAGAATTTCCCTCTTGTTTTTGAGGTCATCAGCAGAAAGGAAAATCATATGTGATGGGAGTTGCTATAACAATAAAGAACTGTGCTTTTTAGGGAATTCCTTTTTCATATTAAGCGCCCTAAATAACCTGAAGAGAAAGTCTGTAAATATTACAAGGGCCAAATTTCACCACTCATTCTGGCTCTCACTCCCTTGTACGTTTTTTTTTAAAAGGAGAGCATTTTCTTACATTGTGAGAGTGATGACAAACTTCACCAGGCCTAGAGCTTGACCTTGATCCAGAGATGCTAATGGGAGGAGATCTCGTAAAGAGCAGTACTTTTTTTTGGATGCTCACCTCCAGAATCTCACAAAACAGCATTCTGAGGGATTCAGGGAGTCATTCAAAAAAGTAATTCTTGGCCCAGCTTTTTGAGTGAGAAGCAGCACCTGATCCCATAGTCTAGCACAGTGGTTCTCAACCTGTGGGTCCCCAGATGTTTTGAACTTCAACTCCCAGAAAACTAGCTGGTAAACTAGCTGGGATTTCTGGGAGTTGTAGGCCAAAACACCTGGGGACCCACAGATTGAGAACCACTGGTCTAGCATAAAGACTATGCGATCAGGTTAACAGGGAAGGGAACTCGTAAGGAGCAGCCCTTTCGGCTGGAGAGGTCTCACTCAATGCTTTAGTAGGTCAGATGTTCTGCTCCATAGGATTGTGAATTGCATTATATTGTCTATGTCAAACATGGCTTCATAATTTCTGCCCTTGGTCCCATGTTAAGACTGATTTGGGTGGACATTGTTTTACAAAATAAGCCAGAAGGTATCAAAGACTTCCCTTTCCTCTTGAGTGGTAATTATTAGAACATGAATTGGAAAGAGCAACACTCCTAACAGAACTTTCTCTGGGTTGTTGTAGGTTTTTCAGGCTATATGGCCATGATCTAGAAGCATTCTCTCCTGACATTTTGCCTGCATCTATGGCAAGCATCCTCAAAGGTTGTGACCCCACAACCTCTGAGGATGCTTGTCATAGATGCAAGAGAGAATGCTTCTAGAACATGGCCATATAACCTAAAAAACCTACAACAACCAAGTGATTCCAGCCATGGAAGCCTTCAACAACACACAGAACTTTCTCTATTTAAGTCTCTCTCCTTAGCCTTGTTTCTGGATGGGATTAGACCAGTGCTTCATCCTCCCCACCTTCCCAAGGGGGAAAAAGAACACAAAGGAGGATCCTAATGAGAATGGATAGACTGTTTTACTTTGAAACGCAAGGCAAGGTTTTGTTTTGTAATATATTATTTCCGCATGCTCATGGATTTAGGAATTTGCATTGGTTCCTTTGTCCCTCTCTTTTAAAATGTCACATTTCTTTGTTTTGAGTAGAAGACCACTAATATTCCCACACAAATGACTCCGATCTCTAGTGTAGTAACCAACAGTGCCTATTTCTACTTGGCTTGGTGAGGATACTACGAGTGAGTGAGTTTTAGAAACATGGCAGCTAATGTAGGGAAGTTTTTGCCTGTGCTGCAAGACATATTTTGTTGTGTACAGCGAGTGAATAGAGCACAAGAATGGGTTACAGGAGGAACCTGAGACTGAAGCTGAAACATGGTGAGGGGTGACATTTGTTTTTGAAGTCAACTTTGCTCTTTTGACTGTAGTTAGCTAAAATCTGCTATCAACACAAAGCTCTCTTATTTTTATTTTTGTGTGACTGGCTGTCAACTTGACAAATGAATCTGTGTAGTTAAGGTCCACTCGGATAGGCATTCCCAGGAGTCTGAAATTCCTCCACTTCTGTTGCTTAGTGCTTTCAGTGGATATATGGTTGTCATGTACTATGACATACAGCCAGGACAAATAAATGTTGCTCTGGAAGGCCAATTGGCCAGACATCTTAATGCTCAAATTATATTTGTTCCACTACAATAATCCAGTGCGTCATTTATCAGTTCCTCATGCATTTCTGAGCTCTGTGCCTGCTCACTCTTGAACACCAAATTGCCAAACTCCTTTTAAACATCAGACTTCGCTCCATTGTCGGAATTGCATGGGTTTTATGGTGTTGTTTTCTCTCAGCTCCACAGACTCATCCAAATTGTTCTAGCAAAAAAAAAAAAAAAAAAAAGGGGGGGGGGAGGACGACACATTCCAGCATGTGTCATCTGCAAGTGAAGACACTAATCAGAAATGGCAATTAGTTTTTTCAGAGAGTTGAAAGCAATTATATAATAGAGGCATCATAACCTATTGCATACACTGGAATTTGTGTTCTAAATATTTTCACCGTGTAACAAGGCTTTTAGTTTGTTTTTAATGGAAAATCCCCATTGGAAACAGTATATTTGTGGGAAGAGGAGTACAATTTGTTGTTGTTCATTTGTTCAGTCGTTTCCGACTCTTCGTGACTTCATGGACCAGTCCATGTACAATATAAGCCAGGTTTTATGTTGAAGGAACATGGGAGATGGCCACAGGTGTGGGCAGGACGCATTCACACTCTCTGCCATCAGTTTTCCATGGTTTTCTCCTTCTGGCTAAACTTTCCATACGGGCTCCCTTCAGGGTTCACCCTTTGTTGTGGAAGCTCTGCATACATACATCCTGCCTCTGCCCCATGGAGGGCTCAAGGGTCACAAGAATTTCACAGATTACTTTGAGTTGAAAATACCGAGTGGATTTTGCATGCCTGAACATTGATTCCTAGTAACTTTAGTAGTTCTGTCCCCTGAGTCTGGAACATGCAGGGTTTGTTTCAAGGAAGCTCGCTCAGGGAGGGGGAAAATCTAACTTTAAGGTGAGTCAGGGGAAGTTTGAACATTGGTAGTTCTAGTATTGGTGGGGCAACTGTCTTTTTAAATGTCGGCTTTGAATTTGCACCACGTTTTACTGATTGACCTGCTTTAGGAAGAGTTAAAACCAGCACAAGTGTGTGGTTATTTCAGATCTGTGTTTGCTACTGAAATCCCAGCAATTGGCTCTTAATGTGTGCAAATAAAAACTAAGGACTACCACTCCATGCATTTTGCACTTTCCAAATCCAAAGATCTCAAAGTCTCCCCTTAGCCTGGCTCAGTTTTCTTGCCATACTAGATGAGAGGTATGGGAGATGATGTTCCTATCCTTACTTTCTTTCCCTCCTTCTTTTAAAGGGGGGTGGATGGGTTTCAATCCTTCAGAAATAGGATTTCAAACCACAATTGTAAATATTTATCTTGAATTGGGGCCATAATTGTACATGTATGCCAGGATTAGGGCTCCTCTTCCTTCTCCATCCTGTCCCAGCACCTTGTACTTGCAGTGAAGATGTTCCACATTTCACATGTGAATAACCCCTTGGTAAACCGGAGCAACTTAGTTTTTAAAGTGCAGATTTGACCTGCCACCTCTCTACGATTATTGGATCAGAATATACACAGAGATTTCAAGCACTTATTAGGAGAACATTGCTCCTCTGGAATGCCATCCTGCCTTTAAGAGGGCTTGTTTTTAGCATCAGTGACAAAAGAAAAGGTATCAAGGCAGAGATGAAGAGGGGGAAATGCACCAACATTTCCCACATAAATAAAAACGTGACCCATCATGTCTCCTTTAACAATCAAACAAATCTACTAGAGTCCCTTTTTTAATTTATAAAAGTATGTATCGTTTCTTTTTAGTGTCAAAACTCCATCATTCCTTGAATCAAGAAACACCACAATACCTATCTAACAACCAATAACGCTTGAAGGACTTTTCGTTTTTGCACTACGGCTTTCCTTTTGCCAGATGTTTCTGCCAAGTGCATCTGGAGAAAACTTTGGTCACATTCTCTCAGGCCTTCTCTGGTATTTCTAGTATATCGCAGAAGTACCCAAACTTGTAGCCCTCGGTTCTGCCTTTTTTGGTTGACATTTTATTTTTTTTAAGCTTTTTTATATATATAAATATAAATATATATATATATGAATATATTACTTTGTCAATTTTTTTGGCTGTACAAAAGTCTTAAGATTTAAGAAAAAAATATTATTTGTATTATATGATGGTGGTATGTTAATGTATCAAGATTATTAATGAAGAAGAAGATTTATTTTTGTTACTGGTCTGTTTCATAATTCTTTTTTAAATTCGTATATTGTAAGATATCTATGCAAAAAAAAAGTTATGTGACGCATTTTTATTTAAGAATGTAATATGTGTAATAAAAAGTAGAATGTGTTTGGCCTGAAAATGGTTCAGATGTCCTGAATGTTTTCTTTGTGTCATGCACAAACCCTGCAAGTAATGAGGAAGATTTTTCTGGGGGACAATTAATACGGTGGTGAAATTCACTTGGCTAAAGTAATGGCACTTGGAGATAATAGTGTGTGAAACCAGATTTTAGCTGATATCTGAACCATCCTGTAAGTTGGTCCTTGGGGTGAAAAATAGGTCTCCTTACTATCATTCAGTGGCCTCTCTTAGTAAGGAAAAAGCCAATATTTTGAGAAGCAACAATACAGTTCCAGGGGCGTTCACAAAAACGGATTCTCATTTCTTGGGAATCTTGTTCTCTTGCTAGGGAAAGGTATTAGGCCAGGGGTCCTCAAACTAAGGCCCGGGGGTCGAATACGGTCCTCCAGGGTCATTTACCCAGCCCTCGCTCAGGGTCAACCTAAGTCTGAAATGACTTGAAAGCACACAACAACAACAACAATGCTAACTCATCAGCCAAAAGCAGGCCCACACTTCCCACTGAAATACTCATAAGTTTATATTTGTTAAAATTGTTCTTCATTTTAATTATTGTATTGTTTTTCAGTGTGTTTTTTTTTTGCACTACAAATAAGATATGAGCAGTGTGCATAGGAATTCATTCATGTTTTTTTCACATTCTAATCTGGCCCTCCAACAGTTTGAGGGACTGCGACCTGGCCCTCTGTTTAAAAAGTTTGAGGACCCTGTATTAGGCATTTCATATTTCTGTTTTGGAAGAGAATAAATATTTGACTCTTGCATTGGCCAATACATCCTATCCACCAAGACAAAAAGAGCCCTCAATGGTGCGGCGGGTTAAATCTTTGTGCCGGCAAACCAAAAGGTCAGCAGTTCGAATTTGGGGAATGAGGTGAGCTCCCATCTGTCAGCTCCAGCTTCTCATGCAAGGACATGAGAGAAGCCTCCCACAGGATGATAAAACACCCGGGCATCCCCTGGGCAATATCCTTGCAGACACCCGATGCTCTCTCACCCAAAGTAACTTGCACTATCTCAAGTTGCTCCTGACATTAAAAAAAACCAAGACAAAAACAAAACAAAACATGAAATACTTAAGCCTGTACTTCAGTACTATATTATTAATACATAGATGCCCCTTTCCTTCCAGATCAAAACAAGGCTGGGAGCTTTGGACACACAACAGGATATCAACCTCAAAGTCAGGAGGACCCAAAGTTTGCTGCCGTTGGGAAATTGCTTTGAAGCATTTGGAAGTGGATCACTATATGTATTAGGGGTGTGCAAAGTTTTGTATATAAG